AGTGGGGCACGTGCGAAATGCGGATTTTTCCAGTTGCAGTACTGCAGTAACTCGACACCTTCCTCACCAACAGCTCTGTCCTCTATGAGCTTCTTAATGTAACTGCAAATAAAAGATGGAAATTTAAGAAAAATTTCTATCACAGCTTTCACTCTGTAGTACATTGGCTATCAAGCACCAGACAATTTCTATCACGCATTCCATATGCCACCGATTGTCGTGGATCAATGAAAATACTGTCATCACAGCTTTTTGGTACTCCAGCAACTGATGTGTCTATGGCGGAGTTATGTGGAGCTGTTGCATGACTAAAATCAATTTGGACTCTTTGAGAACTGGCTTGTTTGTTGCGAGAGCTATTGGCATCAAATGTATGCAAATTAGATTTCCAAACGAGCAACTGTTGAATACAGGAAACAATTTATATTATATGGTTCCGCTAAAGTGCACTACTACCGTGTATAAATTGATGGGCCTTCTAATAAATCAAGCAATCTTATTGTATCGTCATCGCCCCCAGTCACCAAGAAATTTCCACTTGGGTGAAATGCAACATCATTCTCCGGCGACGAATGCACTGTATTAGCTCGCCTTCAGCTATGTCAAATATCTTAACGCGGTTACAACTTAATGCTAAAGCCACCAGATTACCGTCTGGATGCCATGCCAGCTGTCGTCCCATACCTCTTCCCCCGGTGAACGTTCGCACACATTCGCCTGAAAATGTATCGCAAATTCTTAACTTGTCATCGCCGCACGATGAAATTAACTTACCATTAGGCTGAATATTGCTGCGCGCACCCATTTGTGTGCCCAGTGAAAGATGTGTATTTTGAATCAGTATTTTAATGGCTGTTCGCCATTTTTCTAGTCCGCAAACGAACAAGCTGACGAAGATGCAAACAAATTCAAGCACATTGTTGCATTCTACCGTACTTTTTTAAAGCTTTAAAATCTTAAAACATATGTGAAAAACTTTTATAATCTGAATATTTCTAATGTCGCAATCAAAACGAAATTTTATAAATAGCATTTTTAAAAAGCAATCATCTAATATTTTTCAGGTTTTGGGCATATATGTTACCATTTGAACAACAAATACTACCAAGTTTTAAGGGACTATTTAATGCAACTCAGGTCAAAAAAGCGCAGTTTAGACCAAAATAAGCAACTCTAAAAAACAGATGATCGCAGCTGTGGCCCAGGATGACGTCTATTGCTAAGATATCTCACTTGTATTTGTACACCATGCAAGCGAAGTAATGATATCTTTTTATCCGTGACAGCATAGCTTAAGTTTTCCCATCGCCCGAGCAACATATCTTTATGATTAGCTTTATCATCCCTGATCACAAACAGATATATGACACATTTCAGATTAGCTGATAAGTAACGGGAGCAGTCCTTGGCCGAATTTATTGAAGTTTGTCAAACTTTAAATTGTGACGGGTGTGACATGTGACGGGCGTGACCAACATAACCGGTTCTTTTTTCGAAAATAAAAGCATATAAATACTTAAAAGCAATTCGCACATATTTCCCTGTGTCATAGCGTTACTTTGGTCAGCTTTTTTACGCTGTCCAAGATGTGTTTTCCTTCAAAAAAAAACTATTTTGTGTATCTTGTGACGGGCGTGACATTTAAATATGCTTTGCTTCAATATATAATAAAATATTTAGTACTTGCCCAAAATTTTGAAAATTACGCCGTTACAATGCTGACGAATTTGTGTCTCCACTGACGGTTTAAACAAGGCGAACAAGGTAATAGACTACGAAAATCAGTCTTGTAAATTTTGAAAAAAATTAACCTCTCATATGGGTTTGCAAATGGTACAACCTAAAGTAAAAAAATATCTGATTTTGAGATAAATTTCAGAATTTTGGCTTTCAGTCTTGAAAGTTAGATTTATTTACTCTTACTTATTAGAAATAATACAGTCAGTCATATTATTTAGTTTATTTTCGTTTCATTCGGTATCGATTACCGTGGAATGAGCCACATGCATATTTCATTGGCAGGTACGTTAAACGCGTAAAAAAAATTGCTCAGAACCGCTGCAAGACATACATTATAGCACCAACATTAGGACCAGTTTGGCTATTTGTCTTTTGTTTACTTAACGTTTATTAATTTTTATATAAGTCTAAATCATTAAAAAATGCACACCGTTCCAATCCACATTTCAAACTTCATAAAAAATTATGAAAACAACAAACATTAACAAAAACCAACAAAACCAACAACCACATGATCAAGTGAATTGCAGCGGAATAGCTGCGCTTGATTGTAGTTGGCTTAGCAAAGTGAAATAGTGGAAAATAAGCAAGAAGAATTAACAAGACAAGCTTAGCACAGTGCATAGACAACTGGCTGAGTCAGTGGTGATCGTCGGTTCGAATCCTACTGAAAGAAGTCTGATGAGGAAATGTGGTGATTTCCGAAATAGCTATCACTTCTACCATTTTTTCAAATTATTGTTGCTTTTCCACAATAAGTTTGCATTTAATACGGCCTCGAGCTCATAAAAAAATTGTTGAATAAAACAACAAAGTTTAATTAAAATTTAAAATTTTTAATGTGAAGTTTCGTAATAATTTTCGGTTCGCAGTTTTAAAAACCATTAAATTTTAATACAAGAAGTTCAAGTTTGAGTTCTGATGCCGGTGTAAATGACATTTTAAAATTTTACACAAATAAAAAAGTCAAAAAAGGCGTGCGACGAATAGCTGTGAATAAGACAGTATTTTAAGAAAAAAATTTGAGTAACAGTTTTTAAGCCCATTTCATTTTAGTATAGTCGAGTGCAAATTTTAAGTGGCTGAAAAATGCCGTTGATTTTTGACAATTTTTTTGGTTGGCGGTGTCATGCATTTTCTTTCATATTAAAACTTTGCCGAGCATACTTTGTATCAAATGGGCTACAAAACTGTATATCCAAAATTTTTCTTAAAATATTAACTAAAAAGCCTCGATTATTTTCCGGCTTTAAATTTGCTCCTCTTTTTATTAAAATTTACTGGACTATAAAACTGGATACCAAGAATTATTATATAAATTCATATTAAAAGTTTGAATTTTTGATTGAGATTGGTTGAGTTGTAATAATTTCTTACAAGAAGTGAAACGCGGATTTGAATGTTATTTATTCTACAAGGAGCGAGACTTCTATAAAAAATTTGTAAACATTAAATAAACTAAATAACATAGTTAAAAAATGGTGAAAATGTTGAGGTACTATTTTTTTACCTGGACTGTATATAAAGATCAATTACTTATTTTTTGATTTTTTTGGATACTCTCTTGAAGTACACACATTTCCAAATTATGCTTCTCAGAAGAATTTTTATTTGTAGCTCATGCAACAAATGCTCGGTTTTGGCAAACTCCAATTCCTTTTTCATTTTTGATTCAGACCATTTCGCTTTTATTCCCGCAAATTTAGTCCAACTTGACTGCTTTGCTTCTCCAGAATAAAGGCACAGTTTTTGTTTTTAAACGTTTTTAGTTTAACTGGTGTACATTTTTCCCAAGCTTCAAACTCTTTTTCAATAACTCCTGCAAACAAATAAGCTTTTTGAAAGGCTGAGATTATAAAAACATATTTATGTATATACCTGTGTTCGTATGGACAAGTAGCTTATGTCGAAAGCCTGGCTTTAGTATAATGCGGCATTCCCTTTATTCTTTAAACGACAATAAATTTTTTGATGAGACTTAATAAGAATACTGACTTGCTAGTATCGGAACTATTTCTTGCACGTTTATTTGTGCCAGTGAGTCATTCGCAATCGTATGCTTCGAATGCCGATTTATACTAAAGCTAGCCTTTCGACATAAGCTACTTTTCCATACGAACACAGATACATACCATGAAGCAGGGATGAAAAATTGAAATTTCAGATTGTACCTAATATCATAAAATGGATGTACCTAAATGAGACAGATTGTACCTAAAAAAAGTTACATCACTCATTTGTAGTTTTTTTATAAATTTTATTTAAAACATAAATAAAAAGGATGGATGTACTTTAAACATGATCCGGTTTTTTTTTTAACTGAGCCTATATCCATAGATTATAGTCTAATGGGAATCGGAGAAGCGTTGTTTTTGTCTAATTATGACTACTGAGAAATATTGGCGAAAAAGACAAAAAACAAACTTTACGAAGTATACTTCTTTACCCAGCAACAACACGAAAAGTCTGCTAATTTATAATAATAATAATAGATTGGCGCTTACACATATGTTAGTGTTTGGCCGAGCTTTTCCTCTGATTTGTGGCGTGCGCCTTGATGTTGTCACACAAAGCGGAGGGACCTACAGTTTTACGCCGACTCCGAACGGCGATTGTATTTTTATGAGAAGTTGTTTTTCATGGCAGAAATACACTCGGAGGTTTGCCGTTGCCTGCCGAGGGACGACCGCTGTTAAGAAAAAACCTTTTGATGTGTATACATCTTTGGTTTCGGTGGGGGTAAAATTTGCGAAGCTGTAACGCATATCCCAGCACAAAATTTCGAAGGGCTTAGCATGTGTATTTCAGCATAAAATTTTTATTTTCATTAGAAGCACCCTGTGTTCGCTTGCCAAATGGTTGCATACATTTAGGCATATGCATAGTAAGAGGAAATGCGCTACAATTGATTATTAGCCGTCATCGATTCGCCATCCGTTAGCAAGTTGCGAAACGAACGAACTCAATGAGGTACACCCAAACTTGCTATCGTCTATCCGTGCTAGCTAACTTTGTTGTTGCTTTCACATGCAAAATTTTTCGTTAAGCGACCGGAACTCAAACATAGCGAGCGAGAAGTGGCGAATCGACGACGGCATGGCATCCTATGACACCCACAATGCACAAGATACTAATTCCTTATTAACAATAGGACAATTATCGGGGAGGCTCAAGAGGCCCACAACAAACACTACCGAGAAAATTATTCCCGGAAGTTTTCTCGTGTAGTATGTAACCGTGACATATATAACCGGCTGTTGATGAGCTCGGACTCGTTTTTAAGCAGTATTTTGGTTCATGACCAAAAAAAGAAAAAATATCAAATCGTTTTCCCCAGACACAATAAAGCTGCTGTTACCCTCTAAATCCGTTGTCAAAGATGTGACAAAGGAATAGTTTGAGGCCAGCGAAGATTCTGAAAGCGAAAACTAATTAACCAATAGCCGTCATCGATTCCCCACTTCTCGCTCGCTATGTTTGAGTTCGGATCGCTTAAAGAAGAATTTTGCATGTGAAAGCAACAACAAAGTTAGTTAGCACGGATAGACGATAGCGAGTTTGGTTGTATCTCATTGAGTTCGTTCGTTTCGCCACTTGCTAACTGTTGGCGAATCGATGACGGCTTATGATAGTGTACACACATTTTATAAATAAAGGTAGTCAATATATTTAAATAGTAAATTAATGGCTAATATATATATTTTATTAATATAACCTGTTCCAGAATGTTGGGGTTGAAATGCAAATATTATTGCTTGTCGACAAAGTAGCCTCCTCTTGCAAGTCCAAGTAATCAGTCATTGTAGTATCTGTATTACTTATCAGCCAATTTGAGCTTTTATACCATTTTCTTGCTGCATTGTTTGACGATGAATCAGTTGTTCGCTTCGTTTAAAAATGTTGGGCTGACGTGATGCAACGGACTTAAATCACGGCCTGCAAATCAGAAACGTATACATATTTCTTTGTTGGTATATATTAACCTGAACACTCCAAAATTTCATATTTTTCTTCTGTGGATATGAAGTCGCTGTCGTATTTGGAAATCATCCCCTGTATTTACTTTTCTGGCAAAATATCTTTTAACAACTTGTCGAATTCGTCAGTGGCTGGTTCTTTTGAAGGA